TAGTTAACCAACTAACTTATTCAGAGCAAAAAGATATATGGAGTTTGACCTTTGCCCTGCAGGATCAGGACCTCAGACGTCCTGAAGGCTTTTCCAGCGTCCTTCCTTTTGGATCAGATATAAATGCAGGAAAACGCCCCGGTCCTCTTTGTGTTTCATGTTTTTAGGCGTCTCTTTTTGTGTCCTCTGTCCCCTCAGCTGTTCCTGCCGTCCATGCGGAAGAAGAGCGGCCTCAGCAACGCGGACGGCTCGGAGGACGGCGACACTCTGACCGCCCACTGGTTAGTGGACGACATGTTTGGCTTTGAGAACGTGGGCTTCACAAAAGACGTGGGACGAATCAAGTACCTCATCTGCGCCGATTGTGAGATCGGACCGATCGGGTGGCACTGTTTGGACGACAAGAAAAAATACTACGTAGCGCTGGACAGAGTGAATCATGAGTGATGTTTGGCGCAAACCTGAAGGACTTCCCAAATGTTTCAGCCTGCTGTGTTTGCTTTTATGGATTTGTCTCTTTTTTTCTATTTTTTTTTTTCCATGAATCGACTGAATCAATCCATCATAAACACACTTTAAGAAACGGCTGTATCAAACCTGTTTGTAGTGAGACCTCCATCGCTCTGACATCCCAATAATCCACCCGTTCTGGGATTTAATTTCCTTTAACAGAAGCTGTTTCCTGGATAAAGTCGTCATCTGTGGACCGTCTGCTTGAAACAGATCAGCCATCCAAGTTTTTCTTTTTCATTTCATTCCATCTGCAGACAGTTGAACTAACCCCCCTTTGAATAATGACACATTTCTTTCACTGCAGTCAAAGCAGCTCATCGTTTGGAGGATTTCTCTACCAGCTTTAAAGTTTCTCCAGTCTTTAAAAAAACCTGCCATTCTGATTCTAACCGATGCTGAATTTGTGGGTTTTTTCTGTACGATTTTCATCGTGAAACACCTTCAATCTCATCTTAAAATCAGTTCACTGTACATAAGAAGTTCTCCAGTAACTGCTCTGAAATAGAAATGTGAAGTTTAGAGGGCAGACTGAGGCTGAACTCTCAGACCTTTACGGAGGAAGAGGGAGTCGGATTTTTAGCAGATTGCTGATCTTCCAGGATTGAGGAGATTCCGACGGATATCTAAGCTCTCCTTTTTGACAAGAAGCTGTTCCAGCTCTGATCCACATGGTGACAACCTTTATTTTTCCACTAAGTGAGGGCAGTGATGGCCTAGTGGTTAGAGCAGTGCATTTGTGAGAGGATTGCAAGTACCTGGCTCGCTCCCCGCAGAGCAAGGGTGTAACCTTGTGATCAAAGTTGGTGGGGGAACTCTAGGGGTGGGGGCTGATGGACCTACAGTTACTCCACCCGAACGCTTTCATTAGGTTTTTATATTTTCCAAAATATTCCTTGCAGCAAGAAGGTTTCGGGTTCGATTCACCATGGAGTTCAGCATGGAACCCACACATGTTCTCCCTGAACATGTGTGGGTTCTCTCAGGGTACTCTGGCTTCCTCCTGCGGTCAAAAAACATGACTGTTGGGTTAATTGGCTTCTCTAAATTCTCTAAATGTGTGTGTGAATGGTTGTTTGTCTCTCTGTTGCCCCGCCTCTCACCCGTAGACAGCTGGAGAGAGGCACCAGCACCCCTCGCAACCCCGCTTGGGATAAGCGAGATGGAAAATGGATGTTTTAGTTTTTGTATTTTCCTTTTTTCAGATTAAATTTTAGGAATTACATTCTCACTAAAGAGAGGTGACCTTTCCTCCTAAGGGAGGAGCATAAAGACGTTTCTCCTGGTCTGCCTAGACAGTTGCAACAGCACTGTGTTGGATCAATGTGTGCGTCAAGCACAGCATTTTTATTGGGTTTGAATGAAACTCAGTTTTAAAAGATTGTGATAAGTAAAACTATCTTAAAAAGAGAAAAATAAAAAAATATAAAGTTAGAAACAACTCTTTGAAAACGAAATCTAACAAAAAAAAAAAGTAGCATATTTTTCTTCCAAATGTTTTCCAGCTTTGTTTATTGTTATTCCACTGTCACAAGCACAGAGCAACGAAATTCACACTCTGCATTTAACCCATCCCCTCGGGGAGCAGTGGGCTGCCATTGTGCGCCGCCCGGGGAGCAGTGTGGGCTTAAGGGTCTTTGCTCAGGAACCCAGAGTGGACGCTGTGGCCATCGAACCGGGTTCTTGCAACATTCTTAGCGCACTGCTCTAGTCACTGGACCAACACTCCTACAAATGTTCATTTACAAAACAATAATGGAATAAAATGCACTCCGTATGTAACTAGCATATAAGCATACTGAGATATATACATTGCTGTTTTTTTAGTAAACCCCACACAGACATAAACACCTATAAATAAAAAGAAACTGTTTTACAAAGTTATATACCTTGTTTTTAAAGCGCTTGATTTATTTATCCTGCCTTCAATGCTGTTGGCGTGGAGTTTTTTTTTTTTTTTTTTAGCACTTCACGATTTCTTTGATGCTCCCTGTGTCTAATATGTGAAGAAAATCAGTTTTAATCTGTTTTCCAGTTTAACCAACCACTGATCCCTGTGCTTTAAAGGTGCTATTCTACTCTTCACCACTAGAGGTCCTCGTTTCACGGCTTGACATCCTAGTATGCAGAGCCTTTCTGCACTCATAAAGACTGTTAGTTTGAGAGGATTTACAACATTTATTATTTAAGACTAAACGTAAAACATGATTTAATATTTGATCATACCTAAAATGAAACAATAGCACCGATTATCAGGATGTGATCCTGTTTTTGTTGCAAGCAGAGAGCATGTGTTGTAAAAGGAAATTACCTAAATTTAAAAGAATAAAAAAATTTGGAAATGAAACATTGAGCAAAACTTTTTAAACAAGGTTTTGAGAGCAACTTTGCTGTTTTCTTAGATTTGTTTATTTTTTTTACAGGTTATATATTAACCGACTACAGTTTTCAGATTGAGTGTTGGATTGAGCAAAGATGGAACATTTTTAGTCGGCTTAAAGTAAAGTGAAGAGAATGGGATCTGTAAAACATTGAAAAGAGTACAATTTATAACATTCAGCCAGAGAGAAAAAAAATTAATGTAAAAATATTAGATCTTTTCAAAAAAAGAGAGAAAAAAAAGCCTGAAAAACCTAATTATTTTAGCAAATATTTAAGAAAAAAAAAAGTTCCTTTCAAATCCTTTTTATTATGAAAACTTTCTGGATTTAATTTTTTTTCTTTCTAACTAAACAGCTTATCATCTCCAGGTTCTTCAACAGTCCAGAACTATGACTGCAGAATCTACTGGTTTCTCTAAATAGCCGTGACTTCTTGTGTTTTACTCTGGTTTTAGATGGATCATTTGATTTTGATAAATAAACTGAATAAACACCAAATGTTAAAAATGTGCAGGTGTGAACTAGCCTCATGAGACCATCCTGATCTCGCAAGCTTTCAAGGTTTCACTGGCAGATCAGTCTGGAGACTCTCCGTTGAAGAAAATTTGGAGCCGTTCACCAAACGAACGTCCAATCAGCGTTGGCTTTGAGGCGGGTTGAGGTGTGACGCAACGAGAAGCGCGACAGTCCAGTCTAAAGAACATGGCGGCTTCAGCCGATGAAACTAGCGTTAGCGTGGCTATCGAGCAAGTTTTATCGGAATTACAGAGTATTTCTTCACTGAAAGAAGAGCAAAACACTGCTCTGGAGGCTTTTCTCAGAGGAAAAGATGTTTTTGCTCTTCTCCCGACTGGTTTCGGCAAGAGTTTGATCTGTCAATTGGCTCCTCTTTGTCGTCGCTCTGTTAGTACATCATATGCTTCGTTGATCTGATTGGTTTATTTGGCCCGTCATTCACCAACATAGCCAATCAGCTAACCAGTGTTTTCGCCCCTTCCCAAAATTACTTCAACGGAAGGTTTCCAGATCTGGCGGAGTCATGTTAGGTGTGAACAGTTCAGTCAGGGATTATTTTAACTGAATTGATTTCAGGTATAAGGAGGAGTCTAATGTTTACTTCAGATCTTGAGCAGCCTGTTTTAAGGCTGTTGGAACATTTTCTCTGATAAAATAAAAAAGGTTTTAAAAATAGTCCAACATTTCATGTCTGTATTGATCGGGCATTTTTTATTCATGAAAACATTCTTCAGTCTTTCAGCACAATGTTTTAAAATCCAAAGAAAGGAACAGTCCGGGTCGGTTAGAACACCTCTGATGGCATCACCCTAAGCACAGGCTCCCCTCAGGGCTGCGTCTTGAGCCCCCTGCTGTTCACCCTGATGACACATGACTGCGTCCCCAGGTTCACCACCAATCACATGGTGAAGTTTGCAGACGACACCACGGTGATGGAGCTCATCAGAGACGTCAACGACCTGGACCACAGAGAGGAGGTGGAGCAGCTGGTTAACTGGTGCAAAGATAACAGCCTGATCCTGAACGTGGAGAAGAAGGAGATCATCCTGGACATCAGGTAGATCCGGCCTAACCACGCTCCACTGATTATCAACAGCTTAGCTGTAGAGGTGGTCAGGAGCACCAAATTCCTGGTGGTGAACATCACAGACACCCTCACCTGGATTGGAAACACCACCTCACTGGTCAAAAGGGCACAGAAGCGCATTTACTTCCTGCAGAGGATGAGGAGAGCCCACCCAATGCAGGTCCAGAAGATTCTGTAACTTCTTCCCCACTGCTATCAGAATGCTGGTCTGCTGAGAAAACTCTAAATAATGCCACATAATTTAGCTTTTTCACATGAGTCTGCGTCATGCTGATAACACCAAACTAAAATACTGCATATTTGCACCATATATATTAATACTCTGAACTTCCATATCAATGCTTTTTTGCACCATGCTTCTTCTCATTAAAAAACGGAAAGAGCCAAAACAAGGCTTTGCTTTTGGTCCACCCTATAAAGCCTTGAACTAAACGCTATTTTTGACATTTTGAATTGAAAAAGCTTTTTTTTTTTTGAATGACTATGACCTGGAGCACTGAGATTCTTCACCTGCACCAGATAAAAACAGACTTAATGTTTTAATAACTCCTATTCTTTTAATTGCACAGCAAATGATCTGCAGCAGCCCTTATATTTGCATATACTGAAGTATACATGTGTTGGTTTGTTCTGCTGACATGTTATGATCATTGCAAAGCTAAACTACAGTCCAGTACCGCTGGTCACCACCAGGGGGCGATTAGAAACTGATAACTATCAACTAAAATAAATTATTCTTTTGTGAATTAACGAATAACTGTTTTTCTCATTTTTTTTCCTGATTCCTTTGAAGCAAATTATTCTTCCTCACAAAGAGAATCAACCTTCACTTTGGGTGTAAACTTAAGTATAGAGTGAGATATTTATACAATCATCTTCACATGCATCTATACTGGATTTAGTTGCTTTTGCCCTGAATAGATAAAACTTAACAAAATTAGGAAACTGGCATCTTTGCATTTAATTTAACTTACATTAGATCTATTTTCTAAAAGCACTTTTTATATGTTTAAAACATCAGCCAAAGCCAGCTGCATAGTAGAACTGAAATCCATCCCCAGGAAGTCCATGTGAAACAGAGAAAAGTCAAACCAGCCTTTTTCTAAAGTGTGAAACAGGGGAGCTGTAGACTATTTTAGCAGCAGTTGCAGCAGGTTTGGTGTCCTAAAAGGCAAGAAAGTTGGCGAAGCTTTGCAGTTCAGAGTTTCTCTTCTCACAACCACAATCTGCAATTAAATAATCTGGATTTTATATGACAAAAAAAAAAAAAAAAAAAAAAAAAATGAAAAAAAAGAAAGATCACAGTGTTTTTAAAAATATTTTACGGATAAAGAAATTGGAAAAGTGATATATATTTGTTCATCTATCCCTTTTCTCTGATAACTAAAATAAAATCACCTTATTAGCAAATAGCCTCTATTAATCAACACAGAGACAATCCACCATGCACAGACTCACACCTAAGGAGAAT